AAAAAAAAAAAAATAATAATTGGTGCCTTTCAACTGAGCAATTATAAAATAAAACCGCAAATTATATAAAAATTTCTCAACTAAAATCGTCTGATAAATAAATAGATTGACTGCGCCGTAACAGGTGTAGGATTTGTACAATTGCCTCAAATTCCGTTCAGATATGATACCGATATTGCTTACTACACTGCCTGTTCAGCTGTAGTCATCCTCAAGTTATTTCAATCATCCTTGGTTGACGTTCCTTAAAAATGTCGCCGTCTTCCCACAAGTCATTCAAAGATGCATCTTTCTGAGACCAAGTAAAAACTTCCTTCACCAAAGTTAAACTGCAATTCAACAAGCAAGTTCCGAAATGACGATGAAGTTGTAAAAGAAGTGGTTTGATCCCGAAAATAAGCAGGACTGAGATAAGCCCTTTACCATCAACAATCCCCCCTGCCACAACCGCTACCCATAAGCAAAGACAAACCTTTTCCCCAAAATCCAGCGCTCAAATTCGTTTATTATTGAAAGGAACTTTAATTTACCACACTAAAACAAATGTACAGCACCGAAAAATACCCAAATTCAAAAACAACTGTTGCCAGCACTCTAATAATCCGTTTCGAGCCAAGCCAAAACCTTCGTCGAATAAACCGCTACCCAGCGTAAGTCACCACGATAAAAGTGTTCGCTACAGGCCGTCAAATATGCAAACTTTGCCAAGATCTTTGCGACCATTCCTTAAAAATGAGAAAATACGCATTCAATGGGCAATACCCACCCTCGAAAACTTCGCTCAATTTTTATCACCCCAACAAAGGACAACCGTCAAACCTCAACCACTCCTGCCATTCCACCTACTATTATAATCGCTGATATATGCTTAGGAAGGAAAAAGCACTTTCGGAATGCGCAAGAAAACAGCTCAGTAACACAGCAAACGAAAATTAAACTAGACTTTTTATCAACGATTTCGTGTTTAACTGCTCAGATATTTATGGATTTCAAATACATAACAAAAAGATAAGCAGAAGGTAGAAAGTAAAGAAGTTTTCAACAACGACTTTTACTGGTGATACTACAAGCAACAGAGATTAAGTAAAAAGAGATCAGCAAAAGTAAGAAACTTACTGATAAGAAGCATACTCTAGAATAAGTTTAACACAGTACTCCTAGCTGCTTCATGAAGTGTCTCCAACATTAGTTTCTTAAAACATTTTGTAAAAAAAAAATGGAAGCAACTGAAA